CCTTAGACATGTGCGATTCGTTTTTCGGACGAAGTTTTGTTATTCGGATGTATCCGAATTTCAGAATAACAGAAATGACGAATGAAAACAAATCCAAAATGTAAAAGAGAAAAAAACAATTGGGCGGAGCTAGCAATGACAGTTAGCTCCGTCTTCTAGCAGGTCCCGGCCAATGAATAACAACTGGGTGGAGCCGGCCGTGATGTAATTTAGGAACATTTGCGGACATCTGTCAGCTGTCATTTGCGGGGCGAAAGGCCGGCCTTTGGCTGGCCGTTTGCCCCATTTCGGCTCAGTCGAGCCGAAACAAATGCCTTCGGGTTGGTTGAGCCGCTCAGCTGCCTCCGAAGGGCTCCCACAACCAGAGCTAGCCAAAGGATCAGCTGAAGCTACAGTAAGATCCTTCGGTAGCTTTGTAGAGTCACTTCTGTCCATCAAGACAGAGTCACTTGTATCCACTATAGTTGTAGTACTGGTCAATTTCAACCAATAGAACAAATGGATAAATAAATTGTAAACCCTCCATATACAGTACCCTATTAGGCGTTTGCGTACCGCGGCACCAGCGGAGCAGCCGCCCCGACGGAGGGTGCCGCCCTAGGCAAACGCCTAGTTTGACTCGCGGTAAATACGCCCCTGGGTAAAATAAAACCCTAAGACAATCAGATTTTCTCCAGATTAACAATCTTTGGTGTTGCAGTATTTCTTAAAAAATATTAATAGCCGGTTATATTCTACATCTATTTTTTTTTTTCAAACAATCCACTGAGTTTTACAGATCTACAATAGTTCCCCAGGAGATCTATTCTATATTTTCACAGCTCTTGCTGTGAAGAAACTGTTCCATATGTGGAACCTTTTTCTCCAGACGCCAAGAATGCCCCCTTGTCCTTTGCAATAAAAAAAAGTTTGAAAGTGTGTTATTATTTGTTTTATTTATTTAAAGCTGATCTCCCAATATCAGCATTTTAATGTGTGTATATGTGTGTATCTGTTTAGCTGTGCACATTTTGTTTTTCTTCAGAAAGCATCTGAAGAAACCATCTATTAGCTTTTGTATCATGTGTTTCTGCTCCTTTGTATTAGGGGCAAGTGCCCCAGGTCCTCTACTGAGTGCCCCCGGTCTTCAAATGAGTGTCCCTGGTCTTCTACTGTGTGCCCCATGTCTTTTATTGAGTGCCGTCTGACTTCGAATGAGTGCCCCAGGTCTTCTACTGAGTGTCCTAGGCCCTCTATGTAGTGTCTCAGGCCTTCTATTGAATGTCCCAGGTCTTCTACTGAGTGCACCAGGTATTTTATTGAGTGCCCCAGGTCTTTAACTGAGCGCCCCATGTCTTTAACTGAGTGCCCCAGGTCTTTAACTGAGTGCTTCAGGTCTTTAACTGAGTGCCGTCGGTCTTCTACTGAGTGTCCCGGGTCTCCTACGGAGTGTCCCAAAGCCTCTACTTAGTGTCCCGGGTCTTCTACTGAGTGCCCAAGGTTTTCTACTGAGTGCCCCAGGTCTTACATTGAGTGTTCCGGGTCTTCCACTGAGTACTGTCACATGGTAGGAAAGGGTGTGTGTCACATGGGCAAATGACAGGTTCACTTTAGATAAAAATTATCGCCATTGGTGTAGAATGGACTTGAAATAATATTAGCACTAAAAGGTATTCTCATCACAGAAAGTTAGGAAGCTATATGCCAGGATTACTTTATTAAATGAAGCAGTAAAAAGAGGAGCCCCACACCAGAATGTTGACGTCCCCAAGTATTTATTCCAGTAAAAGATTCAAGCTAGCTCTGAATGTTTAGTCAACACATTACAGGACCTCAAACGTTCATCCTTCATCAGGTCTTGATTTATGTAAATACATTTTAATTTAAAGAAAAATCAGAAATGTCAGAAAAATTTAATTATTCAGTGAGGATAGGCAAGTTCATTGGTGGCTGGTTGTTGTAGCAACAGCAACATCAATCCCTGATGAAGGGGGCAAGAATGAGCCAATGAAATGGGTTGGCTAATATACAGAGCATGCTTGAATCTTTCATTGGAATAGTTAGTTACTTTGGACTTCAGCCTTCAAGTGTGGTGCTTCTGATCTTACACCTTACTTCATTCCCAATCAGTAGCTCTGGTAGCCCTTCTGTTTTGTGAGAGCCACCTACCCACTACAGAAGTCTGATCTACAGAAGTCTGAGATATATATATATATATATACTACAGAAGTCTGAGATATATATATATATATATACTACAGAAGTCTGAGATATATATCAGTATGATCTGTATGATGTATAGAACCTGCTGAAGCAAAAATTACATTTATATATATCAGGTGCAAGACTGTAGCCAATTACCGTTTCGGACGGCGCAGTGCATTGTGGGATGTCCCGCGGTCGAACAGACCGCGGACATCCCATAATGTTCCACCTCCGGCGAGCATTAGAACATGCTATGTTCGAGTCGAACATAGGTTCGACTCGAACGCGAAGCCCATCCCTACTGACAATATGCTGCACACCACTATTTCAAGAGTATTTGGTGGAAGTACAGCCATTTTAGAGTTCCATTGTTATCCACCATACCCTTAAATTTGATGCACCATTATGCAGCCGGTCTGTTCTCGGCATTCTGTGCCAAGCCCCATAAAAATGATATGGTCTGCCATGTTCCATAGAAGACATACATATGACACTCTGCCACTTACCATCCACTGTGACGTCAATCTTCTGAGTGGCTGACACAGTTGTATTCCCCTCGAGGTTCACCTTCACAATATAAGTCCCTTCATCATTTAGATGCAGTGAATGAATGAGCAGGGAAGCGTTGGGTGGTTTCAGTGTAAGCTTGTGCTGAAGTTCTAAATCTGGCATCACGGACTGGTTAATGGAAGTTATCAGATACCTGGCCTGGGCCTGGGACCGCTCCATTAACCAGATGATTTGGACGCTGGAAGCAGACTGGTTGACTTCATAGTAAACGGGAAGGATGAGCGGCTGTCCTTTGATGCCATGGATGACTGGAGACGGTACAGTGAGCTTCAACGTAGTGCAAATACTTAGACCTTGGGAAAGACAAAACAGAAAAAATATTATATATAATATTGCAACAGAAAGTGTATCAGCCACACTCCTATACAACACTCCTATACAACACGCCTATACAACACGCCTATACAACACTCCTATACAATACTCCTATACAACACTCCTATACAACACGCCTATACAACACTCCTATACAACACTCCTATGCAACACTCCTAAACAACACTCCTATACAACACGCCTATACAACACTCCTATACAACACTCCTATGCAACACTCCTATGCAACACTCCTAAACAACACTCCTATACAACACTCCTATACAATACTCCTAAACAATACTCCTATACAACACGCCTATACAATACTCCTATACAACACTCCTAAACAACACTCCTATACAACACTCCTAAACAATACTCCTATACAACACGCCTATGACGCCTATACAATACTCCTATACAACACTCCTAAACAACACTCCTATACAACACTCCTAAACAACACTCCTATACAACACGCCTATACAACACTCCTATACAACACGCCTATACAACACTCCTATACAACACGCCTATACAACACTCCTATACAACACTCCTAAACAACACTCCTATACAACACGCCTATACAACACTCCTATACAACACTCCTAAACAACACTCCTATACAACACTCCTAGACAACACTCCTATACAACACTCCTATACAACACTCCTTTACAACACTCCTATACAATACTCCTATACAACACTCCTATACAACACTCCTATACAACACTCCTATACAACACTCCTATATAACACTCCTAAACAATACTGCTATACAACACTCCTATGCAATACTCCTATACAACACTCCTATACAATGTGTAGCACATTCCACTACAGCGCCAATACAAAAAACCAGAACAATGATAACAAGCTCCATCCACATTGTATATAAAAATAGCTGTAAGGAGGTAGAATTAAAGATAAGCTCTGGACATATAGCTACATACACAGATGTCCTCAGTCCCCCTTCACATCAGAGTTCTCAGTCCCCCTTCACATCAGAATCCTCAGTCCCCCTTCACATCAGCATCCTCAGTCCCCCCTTCACATCAGCATTACAGTCTCCCTTCACATCAGAGTCCTCAGTCTCCCTTTACATCAGAGTCCTCAGTCTCCCTTTACATCAGAGTCCTCAGTCCCCCTTCACATCAGTGTCCTTAGTCCCCCTTCACATCAGCGTCCTCAGTCTCCCTTCACATCAGCGTCCTCAGTCTCCCTTTACATCAGCATCCTCAGTCTCCCTTTACATCTGAGTTCTCAGTTCCCCTTCACATCAGAGTCCTCAGTCCCCCTACACATCAGCGTCCTCAGTTCCCCTTCACATCAGAGTCCTCAGTCCCCCCTTCACATCAGAGTCATCAGTCCCCCTTTACATCAGAGTCCCCAGTCCCCCTTCACATCAGAGTCATCAGTTTCCCTTCATATCAAAGTCTTTTCAAGACTACACATCCCATCATGCATTGCTTCCAGCAAGCAATGATGATGTTAAATTGTTCGGATGCTGAGTTGTAGTTCAGACGGCAGGCTCTGTGAGAGTTGTGACATGAGGAAGTGCATGTTTACGGGGCTGAGTGAACTTTTGTCAGTGCATTGAGGAAGTACATCCTACGGATATCTTCAATAAGTGACTTTACAAACTTTTAGATGGATTTGGTTTTTAGGAGTGGGATAGAACTTATGACCATGAACTTGACCATAGATACCCTTTAGGCTTACCATTTACCTTACAATCTTCTCCGGTATCCACTTGGTATACTTGTTATATCTCATTGTTACATTACAATCTGCTATAAACAGAACATTAGGAACATGAGACTGTCGCCAAGAATTGCCACCTGTCCAGGATTCACCCGGACAGTCCAGGTTTTGAATGCTGTGTTCGGGTTTCATGGCAGCAGAAACCCAGACATAAGAGGTCAGGCAGACAGGGCAACCAAAATTAAGATAGGGGCTACTGGCCCCCCACTGAAAATAGTCTCAACTGTTATATTTACATATGAATGGGTGGCACTACTTACATATGAAAAAGCAGCGACTCATTCTCCCCCAAAAATGTCAGCGTGTTGCTAGAGTGTTCGGGTTGCGCTTGAAGAAAAGGTGGCAACCCTACTGTAGCCCCTACCACCCTAAGTGGAGTGGCTCCTGAAATTTAGTGTTGCGAGGACTGTAATCAGTCTGGCTGATTTGTAGTCCGGTATCTTCTGGTTAATTCCAGGTGTTCTGCTGATGATTGCATCTACCTGTCCCTGCCAGAGTGGGGCAACCAATAGGGGAACATCAGGAGTGTCTATGCCTCACCAGCCAATCACTATGAGTTTCACGGCCAGTGGTGCATGCTGGCTGAGTTCATAAATACTCAGGAATTGCCATGTGCTCAGGCCTGTCCGCCCCCGGGCCTAGCCTGGGAGTGGGATGTACAAGGTTGGACAAGCTGACTAGGCCTCAAGCCTGCAGGAGACCACATGGGGAACTACCTTGGGAGGAGAACCAGAGGAGCCCTATGACTGCTGGAGGTGGCAGTAAGGCCAGGATGGCATGGGCATCAGCAAAACAAGTCTGATGACTTTCCCAGGGAGGATCTCATGCTCATCCCTACTCAGCTGTTGTTCTACTGCACAGTCTCATCATCTATTCTCCTGAAATATTTCTCCACTCTGGAAGCCGGAAGAGATTGGTGGGTCTGAGGTCTATTTTTGCCAATGGATGTCTGAAGTCCTATACCCTCTCTCCCAGTTTTGCTGTTTCTTTAATAAAGCATCTAAAAATTCCTTAAAGTGACTGGTGCCCAATTTACTGATCGCAGCTAAGGATCCACCCCTGAGAGTGAAATGTCAGCCCTTGCTACCCTTTCTGGGTCCACCTCAGGCCTCTGGGGGTCAGGGGGGCACTACAGGACTTTAAGGGTACCCCTATTCAAAGATATCTACAAAATGACTGCTAAAAAATCTAAAGCCTTTTATTCTTGTTCACATTAAGACCAATCATATGGAACAAGGTTAAGTGCCAATACAAAGGTTCTTTCATCTATACACACATTGTCCTCCTCACGTCTCAATACCGGAGCTCGGCTCATACATCTTTTATCCATTCATTTCAGATATTCAATTATCTTTCCACTTTCAAGCCGATACTTGTAGAGGGATGAGACCAAATCTCAGATAATAAATCTTCAGGAGATAGATAAGAGGTAGTAGATCATTTATTCACTCAATCAGTCAAGTATTTCATCCAGCTTCACTCCATATGATGAGAAAGGGGGCCGCAGGGGATATTAAAGTTTCTCAGGACCAATATACACTATATGACCAAAAGTATTGGGACACCCCTCCAATCCTCCTCCCCTCCCTTGGATTCAGGTGTTCTGTGAAACTTCCTTTCTACTAAATGTTTAACAGTCAACTGTTAGTGGTATTATAACAAAGTGGAAGCAACTGGGAACAGCAGCAACTCAGCCACCAAGTGGTAGGCCACGTAAAATGACAGAGCGGGGTCAGCACATGCTGAAGCGCACAGTGCGCAGAGGTCACCAACTGTCTGCAGAGTCAATAGCTACAGACCTCCAAACTTCGTGTGGCCTTCAGATTGGCTCAACAACAGTGCGTAGAGAGCTTCATGGAATGGGTTTCCATGGCCAAGCAGCTGCAACCAAGTGCAATGCAAAGCGTTGGATGCAGTGGTGTAAAGCACGCTGCCACTGGACTCTAGAGAAGTGGAGACATTTACTCTGGAGTGACCAATCACGCTTCCCCGATAGACTGTCTGGGTTTGGCGGTTGCCAGGAGAACGGTACTTGCCTTACTGCATTGTGCCAAGTGTAAACTGAACAAGAGAAAATCAGTGGGCTTCCCTCAGCATGGATGGAGGATTCTCCACCACTGCCGGCTATTGTATTCAGAAGCCGTGACACCCACAGCTGTCTAAATATCTGATCAGTGACTGCATCTGATAGGATGCAATTGCTGTTCTGCTTATCATTTACCACCTGGCTCTTAAATCGATTTTCAAGGTGGTGCTTGCTACCCATGGCTCAAATTCCTGCTGAACCAGCCAAAGTTTGAGCCGTCTATGGCCAGCTTTAGTTTAAACATCATGACTGATAATGTAATATATCATCAATATCCAAAGTGCTGGTCCGGGAGACGCAGTGCTTCCTCTCCCAGAGTTGTTATCACAATCTGACTGAACAATCTTTGTACAATCTGATTTACATTCACCCATCCCCAGCCTCTTCTCCCCTGGGCTCCGGTGGTCTAAGGACCCATGATGTCATCACGCCTAATGCAAGTGCATTAGACGTCAGGACGCCGAGAGGCATGCCACAGCCAGAGAGGAGGGAAAGAGAGAGGTGAGCACTGGCTGCTGCGAAACTGAGGATCAGGTGAGTATACCTTCTTTTTTCCAGCCCCTAGATAATAACAAGCAGTTAACCCTTGCAGTGTGGGGGTAGCTCCACTTCAAGAGTTAATGTTTGACATTGAGACTGGTGTCCATATACTGTATATCAATCTGGTGTCCATAAACAGTATATGAGACCTTTGTCCATATACATGAGACTGGTGTCACTTGGCGTGCAAACACATGAATGGTCTATGGATTATTTGCACACATATACATGAGACTGGTGTCCATATACATGAGACTGGTGTCTATATACATGAGACTGGTATCACTTGGCGTGCATATAAATGGATGGTCTATGGATTATTTGCACACATATACATGAGACTGGTGTCCATATACATGAGACTGGTGTCTATATACATGAGACTGGTGTCACTTGGCGTACCTGCACAACGATGGTCTATGGATTATTTGCACATATACACATGAGATGTCCATACACATGAGATTGGTGTCACTTGGTGTACATACATATGGATGGTCTATGGATTGTTCACACACAAATACATGAGTTTGGTGTCACTTGGAGTACATGCACATAGATGGTCTATAAATTATTTGC